GTTTCAAAATTAATTTATCTATTAACGTGGTCGTGTATCCATTGGAGACGGCGATGTGTTTAATGATGTTTATCTCTTCGTTGTAATCGTCCGTGCTCATTGGAATTGATAACAATCTATTTACAAAACAATGGTATGCGGCTAATTTCTGTGAAAATGGATGGTGTGAATCTGAATGTATTGTTTGATCGGAGCAGGTGGGTTTTCGGTAGATTTTAAACTTTAAGCTGTCACTATGTTTTGATATGGTAAGGTCCAGAAAATTAATGGAATTATTTTTCTCCTCTTCTAGTGTAAACTTAATATTATTGTGAATATGGCATAAATAAGCATTTAGAAGGGATAGCTGTCTGTTGTTACCATTGAACAGGACAATGGTATCGTCTACATATCGATAGTAGAAAATTATTTTGTTCTTATATCGGTTGGAGTCAGTAAACAAGTGCTGGTTCTCGATGTGGTTTAAGAATACTTCAGAGAGAATGCTGGAGAGGGGGGAGCCCATGGCTAGGCCGTCATTTTGTAGGTAGAACTTATCTTGAAACTGGAAGTAGTTCTGTTTTAATATCGTATTTAATAGTGAAACTAGTTCATTGATGGCGTTGGGTGACAATTTGGAATTTTTTCGAAGGTTTTGTTCAAGTATTTGCACGGTTTCTTTGACGGGTACATTCGTGTATAAATTAACAATATCAAAAGATGCTAACTTATAATTTCCGCTAATTTGTTGATTTTTGATTTTTTCAACGAGTTCAATACTGTTCTTGACACTGTGATTATTTTCCAACACAATTTCTTTCCTTATAATTTTATCTAATCTCTTAGCAACTTTATATGCTGGGGAAGGCATGAAATTTACTAAAGGTCGGATTGGGACATCTGGTTTGTGAATTTTCGGAAGGCCCCTGAGGACCGGTGCTTGTGGGTTCGTTACTTTTAGAGAAAATATATCATTAACTGACAATAAGTTCTTGCTCTCAGATATTGATTTATTGATTAATTTGGCGTAAGAGGATGTTGGATCTTTGTTAAGAAGCTCGATGTTATTGTTACTTATAAAGTCACAAACTTTATTCACATAAATATCTTTATCCATTATGACAATTGAGTTGCCTTTGTCGGCTTTTGTAATCAATGCGTTCCCCTCAGCGAGTTTGTTCCTGATGCTAGTTACAGCCTGTCGCATTGACTTGTACTTGTTGTTTAGTTTCCTTGTGCCTATCGAGTTCCTCATAACCTGTTTGGCTTTACTCGCCATGATGAATCTAGTGGATTCACGAATGTTATCGTCTCTAATTGCTCTTATTGACGATTCAATGTTCAATAACTCATTGAACAGACTGAATTTTCTGTTATTCGGGAAGTTGAAATTGAGACCTTTGTTCAATAAACTTAATTCAATGTCATTAAATTGTATGTCTGTATTGTTTATAACCCTCTTAAAAAATGTGTGTGTGCATTTTATTACTTCTTTAACGTGTTGAGATTCCAATAACTTTTTGATTTTTTTATCTTGGGTTTTCTTTTTAGTAAAAACCTTTTTACTCACTTGTTGGTTAATTTCACTAAGTACATTTGTCTGTTGGCTAGGATGTAATTTATTTAATAACTCTAGGTGTTTCGTTAATAGAAGTTTGTTCAATCGGCTTTTCTTGGAATAAAGATGTTTTACTTCATTCTTAATCCATATGGATTCGGCAGACTTTTTGGCTTTTAAGGCAGCTTTAGATTTACCACTAACTTTTATGTTCACATAATGTGGCACTACGTTATTGTCTAAACATGTTTTGTTGAATCTTATGTTCTCTATTGTTTTGCATAATTTTAGTTTTATATCCTTGTACTGAAAGGCTAACTTTGCTTGATCAGCTTCTAACTTCATTATGGTGTGGGTAGCCTCCGGATTGCGAATAATAACTATGATAGTGGTTTAAATACCTTATTCATGCAATCCAATTGTTGTCTCCACAACTAGTTTCAACCTGCTAGGAGGTCATCATCAGGTGAGTACAAGGATGAATTACTTCATATGAAGGTCGTCAGTAAGTTCTACCTACAAAATGACGGCCTAGCCATGGGCTCCCCCCTCTCCAGCATTCTCTCTGAAGTATTCTTAAACCACATCGAGAACCAGCACTTGTTTACTGACTCCAACCGATATAAGAACAAAATAATTTTCTACTATCGATATGTAGACGATACCATTGTCCTGTTCAATGGTAACAACAGACAGCTATCCCTTCTAAATGCTTATTTATGCCATATTCACAATAATATTAAGTTTACACTAGAAGAGGAGAAAAATAATTCCATTAATTTTCTGGACCTTACCATATCAAAACATAGTGACAGCTTAAAGTTTAAAATCTACCGAAAACCCACCTGCTCCGATCAAACAATACATTCAGATTCACACCATCCATTTTCACAGAAATTAGCCGCATACCATTGTTTTGTAAATAGATTGTTATCAATTCCAATGAGCACGGACGATTACAACGAAGAGATAAACATCATTAAACACATCGCCGTCTCCAATGGATACACGACCACGTTAATAGATAAATTAATTTTGAAACACCAAAACAAAACAGAAAGAGTGAACCAAAATAAAAAGTTCTTATCAGCTGACTATAATTCATGTCTTAGTAATAAATTCAAAACATTAATGGGGAAAAATAACATAACAGTATCCTTTAGAACAAAAAACAATCTGGGACCACTTCTGAAAGAAAGACCAAGCACAACTAAACTTAAATACGAAAAAAGTGGTGTTTACAAAATCAACTGTTCAGATTGTAATAAATATTACATAGGCCAAACTTCCCGCTCTTTCTCCAAACGCTTTAAGGAGCACATACCAAAGAAGACTACCTCAAAACAAACTTCAACCTTTGCCGAACATCTAGTTTCTCATCAGCATAATTACAACAGCATTAATGAAAACATGGAAATTTTACATACGTCACAGGACAAGTTTAAAATTAACACCCTGGAAGAATTCGAGATTTATAGAGCCGTCAAATCAGACATGGATAACGTTTTAAACGACCAACTTTATTTTAATTCAAACATCATATACAACACTGCAATAGAAATACTGGAGAGGGAAGGGGAGGGCAGAGACAATGGGAATGGAACTGACGAGCGATAAGAAAATGCGCGTGATGCTTGACCGACCAGCTGTTTACCCTACAGTCTAGACGCAACTTCCGCATTCTCAACACGGGTCCGCTTGTCAAGTTCGATGTTTTTATCGGCCGTATATGTGTGCGCACTATGTGTTTATTATTCGTCGTGTGTTTGTGTAAATGTAAAAAAACTGTTACTGACGACCTTCATATGAAGTAATTCATCCTTGTACTCACCTGATGATGACCTCCTAGCAGGTTGAAACTAGTTGTGGAGACAACAATTGGATTGCATGAATAAGGTATTTAAACCACTATCATAGTGAAGAGAATCATTTAACTTTAATGTTGGAGACGGAACTTGTCTTGGATCTTGGACGCGTTTGATTTCGAGTTGAGCTTTGTGAAATTTTAATGTCACTTAGTAAAAAGTGTCATTTAAATTATTCACGTTTGGTAGACTATTTAGAGAACTAAAAACGGCAGTTTTCTGGGCAGTATGATGAAAAACACTTTAAATGGTGTTCAAAAATTAAAATATAGATACAAACGTATAGAAAGATGATTATATAAAAAAAAAACTCGTATAAAAAACTTAAGTGTTTGACCACAATAATAAAAACATTTCTGCTGGTAAAAAACTTGAAATAGCTTTCTTTATCAATGGAAATTAAAAGAATAAAAAACAATTTGCAAATTCGATCAAATGGAAATCATCCACTTAAAGAATTGAAACAAACAATTAGTCAACAGTTCGTCAATAAACAAACGACCCCTAGAGGAATTGGTTTTCTTGATTTGTTTGAAATCGTTTCTGATTTGTTTATTTTGCACTAAAGCTGACTCGAGAGCATAAGAGCCTTAACTGATAGTCAATAAAAAGTTACAAATTTGTTTCGACTGTTGAAAAAATTGTCTTTATTATTAATTTATATGGAATGATTTATATGGTTTTTATATATTAAAATACATGGTTGGCTTTAGAAAATACAGTTTTTAAATGTAACTAGCTGCTGAAATACGCAATACTCATCGTTACAAACGAAGAAGTAACATAACGAATATTTTGTATCACTTTGTTGGATGATTTAAGAAATAACCTTTGCTGATCCTATCATAATTTCGTTGTCCACAATAGTCTATGTATAATACTATCCGTCTAGTTATCCTAGCTATGTGTTTATAGTGTTCTCCTGGTTATCAGAAGGTCCCTTAGTTCGGCCTTATGATGTTTCGACATTGGTAAAGCTGTCCTTGATCATTGGAATGGATGACTGCCTAAACCAGCAGCTAACCTTCTTTGCAACAAATCCACACTAACAGTCTCTTTTATCCCGTTCCATCTCCCATTCATCAGTTCCATCTTCCACTCATACCCTCCCATCTTCCACAATCGCCATTCATTTTCCACTTACCCATTCAATTTTCCACTCATTCCATTCCATTTTCCACTCATTCCATTCCATTTTCCACTCATTCCATTCCATTTTCCACTCATTCCATTCCATCTTCCACTCATTCCATTCCATCTTCCACTCATCCTATTCTATCCTCCACTCTTCCCATTCTATCTTCAACTCATCCCATCCCATCATCCACTCATCCCATTCCATCTTCCACTCATCCCATTCCATCTTCCACTCATCCCATTACATCTTCCACCATTCCCATTTAATCTTCCACTATTCCCATTCATTCTTCCACTCACCCCATTCCACCTTCCATTCATCCCGTTCAATCTTCCATTCATCCCGTTTTATATTACATTATCGTATCGGTTAAAAAAAATAACCTCAGTTGTGTTCCCATCCATAATAGCTTTAGCGAAACCATTTATCCAGAAGCATATTCCACCTGAAAATGTTCCAGGAGCTCAACCTATCAGGCTGTGGACTCCAGGACATGGACTACTTCACCCCCTGGAACTCCAACCACTTGGAGGTCGTTGACCTCTCCAACAACAATCTGACCTCTGTCCCTTCCAATCTGCAGTTCTTCCACAAGCTCAAGAAACTCTTCATGGACGGTAACCCCATCACTAGAGTGGCTGAACTTCCATTCGCATTGTTGTGGAACATGCAGATACTGAGTCTATCTGACTGTCAAATTGCCACCATCGAGGATGATCCTTTCAGGAATATGGACAAGCTTAAGGAGGTAAGAGTGGAGACTTTATTCAAAATTGGCTATCAAGGTTATTTTAAAAGGGCGTGGAAAATTTAAGGGTAAAATGGTTGTCATGAAATTTCTGATTTGTAAGAGAGTTTTTGGCATGCTAACCAAGATTCCGAAGGTTTATCTAGAGAAGGGCGATTCTAGACTAAGTTCCGTTTTTTTTTATTGTGGTTTGTAATAAATATATTTTTCTATTAATTCATAGAAAGTTTTTTTTGTATTTACTCAAGGGAGGTACAGAAGAGCCTTCCATGACGTCAGCTGTCAGATCTCCTCTTGTGGGAACACCATTACCGCAACGATACGGAATTCAGTGATACGTTCAGATACGTCATCAGCTTCGGTGGTGTGATGGTTAGCGTGTCGGGCTGATAATCCGAAGGTGCCTGGTTTGAATCCCGCTGGCAGCATTAACTTTTTGTCAATAAATTTTTCATATCAGCAAGTTTGGTTAGGTTATGACAGTTTAATTTAATAATTGAAAAATTTTAAGATTATTTTATAATTTTTCTTAATTTTATAATTAACTATGCCTAATAGTGAAGTAAAAATAACGTGCTGTGCTCTCTACTACTTGTCGTTGTGTGCGGTGGAGTGAACCAGACTCAGTACCAACAACTTTGTTAACGGAGCAATTTTTACCTAAACTATGATGTCATCGTTGCCTCATTTGTACCTCCCTCAAGTCAGACCCGTTTTTTCTCCTATGTATAGGCTATGTAGGAAAGAAAAGAAATGGAAAATCTAAGAAAACTACCGATTTGTAAAGTTACTTAGCTCTTCTGACACGATAGACGAGTATTTAGAATGTTCACAATTTTTAATTCGTAAGCTGCCCAAGGTTTCTCCTTTGGTTAATTCAGAGTAAGTGAAATTCTAGACTTTGGTTGGTTATTAATAATGCTTCAGTGACCCTGACCTTCTATGGTGGCAAGAAGGCCAGGTCCAAATTCACCAACATTTTTGGGGTCGTTTCTAATGTCCTAATTCACCAACTTTCTACCTTTAGCAGGTACGATATTTCTCCCGGCGGGCGGGGAAGGAATTCCCTCCGAATAGTTTGCCATCGCCTGCTCCGTCTCGTTTCGGCGAGAGTGTACTGTAACCTAACCTAACCTAACTTAACCTAACCTAACCAAACCTAACCTAACCTAACCTAACCTAACCTAAAGCTGCCTGAAACAATCACAGCTTAAACAGTACTATTAGGGCTAAGCAGTACACTCTCGCCGAGACGAGACGGAGCAGGCGAGGGCAAACTATTCGGAATTCCTTCCCCGCCCGCCGGGAGAAATATCGTACCTGCTCCAGGTAGAAAGTTGGTGAATTTGGACATTAGAAACGACCCCAAAAATGTTGGTGAATTTGGACGTAGCCGGCAAGAACAAGGGATTGCACTATGCTCTTTAAAAGTTACATTTCAAAGAAAGGGTGATTCAAAATGAATGACCCAGTTTTAACGCTTTATAACTTTTATACTATTAAACTTACCGCTATAAAATACACATCAAACGAAAAAGAAACTCAAAGAGTTTATGCCTCCCAAAGACAGATCATTTAACAAAATCGATCCAGCAGAACTGTAGATTTAATTGTTTAAAGTTAAAAAGTAATCTCCAACTTTTTTACCACTACAAATTTCGAGGTTACTTGACGTTTTTGCAAATTACTTTTAAATGGTGAGGAATTCGACCGAAGTGGAAAGTAATATTCCGAAAGAGAATAAAATTTCCAACAATCTACTATTATGCATTTTTGAAAATACTCAATAAATGTAGCCTAAACTTGGCTTAAAATAAAAAAGTGTGAAAATTAATGTTTGCTATGTTTATTGTCTACATTCAAGACGGGGATTTTCATATTTTTTTATTTTGTGGCAACTTTTGGTACCTTTCTTGAGCATTTTCAAAAAATGCATAATAGTAAATTGTAGGAAATTTTATTCTCTTTCGGAATAATACCTTCCACTTTGGTCGATTTCCTCACCATTTAAAAGTTATTTGCAAAAACGTCAAGTAACCTCCAAATTTCTAGTGATAAAAAAAGTTGGAGATTACTTTTTAACTTTGTACAATAAAATCTACAGTTCTGCTGCATCGATTTTGTTGAATGATCTGTCTTTGGGAGGCATAAACTCTTTGAGTTTCTTTTTCGTTTGATGTGTATTTTATAGCGGTAAGTTTAATAGTATAAAAGTTATAAAGTGTTAAAACTGGGTCATTCATTTTGAATCACCCTGTATAATACTATACCAATGACGAGTATTTATGCTATAATTATCAAACCACTATGGGTTGCTGAGTGGATATAAAACTCGTTTTCAAATCTGAAAGTTGTCAGAGCAATCCAAAAATGGGGTTGATTCTGGTCACATGGATGCCATTTGTCATTTGGTTTAAAATTAATGATACCAACTAAACAAGATTCCTTGAAAAAATTTCATGAGCCAAAAATTTACAAATAAAAATTTAATTTTCTTCAAGATTTGTATGCGTTAAGAAAGGTTTGTAATACATTGTTTTAATTGCTGAAACAACTAAACATACTCTTGAACTGTAAATTTAGTTAACAACATCAACAGCTCTAACAGAGTCAAAGTTATATGAATTTTCGACTATTCAGCAAATTTCAAGTAATAATCCATTATCATTCTTTTAAAATTTCCCAATTATTTGCTACTTTACGCCTGACATATACCTTCAACATCGCTGACAGAAATGCTATTTTCCAGCTGAGTCTGGAAGGCAACCAGCTGACTCAGATCAGCCACGTCAGATTACCCAGGAGCAACTCTGGAGTCAAGATGTTCCTCAGTGGAAACCCTTGGCATTGCGCCTGTGAGATGCTCAACTTCATCGAGCATTACAACTATGCCATCAGGGACATTGAGTACATCAGGTAGACATTTTAATGACATTTTTTAGTTTGTAAAGTATCTTCGCATTGGATAATAGTTTCGGATTGGTTACGGAAAGGTTTCGGCTGATTGGGTTAGGAGGTGAAACTAGTTGGCAGTCCATCTACCATCAGAAAAGTTTGCCGCTGGAACAAGTTAAACTCTGTGATAGTAGTTAGGGTCAGCGCTTGAGGTCTAACATGGGCTCTTATGGGAAATAGATTTATTGCCTTAATGTTAATAATCTGTTATTTTTCTTTGAATACTGTAATATGTATAACTGTTTAGTTATCATTTTACTGTCAATGTTTATGGTTTTAACTAATGTATGTTTTAACTAATTAATGTATTCAACTAACTAACTAATGTTTTTAACTATGGGTTGTTTGTTATTTATCTATATAACTGTAGTAGGATACCCCCAGATCGGGGCAAAACCACCCCTAGAGTGGTAGTTTAATCCTCAGGGGTAGTGAATATATATATATGTTTGAATGTTAGGGGTTGTTAGGGGTAGTTTTATGTTTACATAGGAGTTATCAGTTGATCATGTGACCTTTTTATATGTAGGTATTTTTATTAAACTATTTTGTGGATAAAAAGTGTGAATCCTGACCGGGTATCGAACCCCGCTCTCCTAGATGTTGTTCCAATGCCTTATCTATAGGGCTATGATGTCAGTTATAGGTATGGTGTTTATAGTGGTAAATAACAACTTTGATTTCTTAATTACATATATAGGGTGTGTAAAAAAAAACATTATATTTTAATTTTATTTTATACATATCTATATGCTTTAGTCTATAACAATTGTGAAACAAATGATAATTTATGTATCCAATGTTAAAAACAGCTGAAAGAAGGCTTAAGCGGAACTTTACCGTTGAGTATAAAAAATGGCCTTTGTAAAGGCCACCAAATGTTGGATGTTAAATTTATATTTTATATATGTTATGTATTTTTGGGATGATGGGTGGTTTGAATTTATGTTTTTTTTCTAGTGGTTGGTTGTGTATGAAGATGTGTATGAATCAGAGGTTCACGGGTTCGATCCTTAGCAATCACCAAATGCTTTATTTTTGGTCAGGGTGATATGTTGATTTCTGTTATAGTGTTGTATCGTAGTGGGAGTAGTGTGAGTCCTTCTTTGATCTTAGAGGTTTATGGGTTCGATCCTTAGCAATCACCAAATGCTTTATTTCTGGTTAGGGTGATATGTTGATTTCTGTTATAGTGTTGTATCGTAGTGGGAGTATTGTGAGTCCTTCTTTGATCTTAGAGGTTCATGGGTTCGATCCTTAGCAATCACCAAATGATGTATTTTTACTGGTTAGGGTGATATGTTGATTTTTGTTATAGTGTTGTATTGTTGTGGGAGTAGTGTGAATCCTTCTTTGATCTTAGAGGTTCAAGGGTTCGATCCTTAGCAATCACCAAATGTTTTATTTCTGGTTAGGGTGATATGTTGATTTTTGGTATGGTGTTGTATTATAGTGTGAGTCCATCTTTGATCTTAGAGGTTTGCGGGTTCGATCCTTACCAATCACCAACTGCTTTTCTTCTGGTCAGGGTGATATTTTGAGTGTTAGTATTGAAGTAGGAGTAGTTAACTTGTTTAGAATGTGAACCTATGATCCCAGAGGTTTGAGGGTTTGATCTTTATCAATAACCAAATGTTTTATTTCTGGTTGGGGTGATGAATTGATTCTTGGTATGGTGTTGTATTGTAGTGGGAGTTGTGTGAGTCTTTGATCTCAGAGGTTTGTAGGTTAGAATCCTACCAGTTATCAATTATCTCATTTCTGGTTATGGTATTAACTTGTGTTTTAGTATGGTATTAAGAGTTTATGTGTGAGACATCGTTTCCTGAGGTTGCGGGTCCGATCCTTACCAGACAATGATTGTTTTATTTCTGGTTGGGGTGTTTTTGGTATGGTATTGTATTGTAGTGGGAGTAGTGTGAGTTCCTTATCTTAGAGGTTTGTGGGTTTGATCCTAGCTAATCACTAAACGTTTTATTTTTGGTTAGGGTGATATTTTGAGTGTTAGTATAGTGTTGTATTGTAGTGGAAGTAGTGTGAGTCCTTGATCCCAGAGGTTTGTGGGTTTGATCCTCACCAGCCACTGTTTGTATCATATCTGATTGGGGTGATTTTTAATGTTGTATTGTAGTTAATTGTTTGTGTATGCCCCCAGAGGTTGTGGGTTTGATTTTTATTATTCAGTGATTGTCTCATTGCTGGTTACTATAGGGTTTACTATGGTATAGGGAGTTAACTGTTTGAGTGTGAGATCCTGAGGTTATGGGTTTAATCCTTACCAAACACTGATTATTTTATATCTGGTCACTATGATTTTGTATGGTGTTGTATTCTAGTTAACTGTTTGTGTATGAGTCTAGGGTTGAGGGTTTGCATCTTATCAGTGAGAGTAACATTTTTTATGGCTGTGTAATATGTTTCTGTCAAATTAATTAGCTATGACTTTTACTGTAAAGATTGTATCTGTAATATAACCTTACTTGTATATGTAGGCTGTGTGTTTTTCTGTCAATGGTTTCTGTTAATATATTAACCTTATTTGTGTATGTAGGAGCTGTCATCTGCTTTATCGTCAACTGTATTGCTAAATGATATAACCTTATTTTATGTACTGTGTATGTTGTCTATTTTCCCCGCCAACTGTTACCGCCAATTGATCTAACCTCACTTTCTTGCCAAGATTGTAATGCATACGTAACATAACCTCACTCTGAAACAAGTCTATTAGTTCATATTTGTGACACTGGAGCGCTAGTGATGATGAAATCTGCTTTGAGTTATTTTTATTGATGTATTGAATAACAAAGTATCTATAGAACATCTGATAAAGCTTGTTCTATAGTAATGAATGTATATACTGGCTTACCTGTATCTCTGTAACTATTAACTTGATATGGGGGATTCACTACAACAGATTGTACTAATGTATTGAAATTTGAGCACTGTACTTTTTACTATTACTTGCATTGTATTTTAATACATCTTACTAATACACCAATACTTTTGTAGAGTTGTACTACAAGTATATCTGATATGTGTGAACTGTGAGTGATGTCATCTTTCTGGTATAACAACTGTTGATAGCTATTTGTTCATTGTAAACATATTTATGTACTACCTCAACTCAGAGGCTATGGGTTTGAATCCTACTAGTCACTGATCTGGTGGGGTAAATATTTTGACTTTTAGTATTGTATCCTGTCTGTGTATGTCTGGTTGTGGGTTTGAATCTTACTAGTACTCAACTGTTTAATAACCGGTATTTCCTGTGTAACATATTTCTACCAAATTTTGATATAATCTTAACTTTGGACCTTAACTGCAACCTAATGTATGTAGACCAAAACAAGTCTTTTTTGGAGTTAACTTAGTGTTAATGAATTTTTATTTAGTGCTTATTTTTATTGAGGTGTTGAATAACAAGAAACAAATTGGGTAATTTCATCAAGTTTATAGTAATGAATGTAATTGATTTTAATGACTTACCTGTATCCCTGGTATTTGAAACTGGTACAGTATTACACTTGTACTACATTGTATTATACTTGTATTGCATGGTATTACACTTGTACTATACTGTATTACACTTAATATTTGTACTGTTTCAATATACAATCACTTGTATAGAGTTGTATATCTGATAGCAATGACTGATATGTGTTGATATTATCACCACTGATTGTGGTTTCTGGTGTAACTTTTGTTGACAACTACTTTTTGTGGATCAACAAACACATTTATGTACTACCGCAACTGTTTACTGTATATCTTGTTGTATCCTACATTAAAACCTGTTATAATCATTGTGTTCTTTAGTTAGGCCTAACCATATTATATTAAGGGTTTGTTAAATGTTTAAATTTACTGTTTATGTCTTTGTGTTGTAACTGTAAACATATCTTTGTTGTCTGTGTATTGAGTATGACTATATTTTTTATACTTGTTTTATCTTAACTGAGGAGAGTTTGGAATATATGTTGACTTAACCTAATGTAATGCTAATAGCTCCTAATACAGCCTTCTATTGTATCCTTTTTTCATACTGATGTTAAATTTGTATTATCTCTAGCTACTTTTCTACATTTCTGTATGGCGCTAATGACTATTACTATGTAATGCTGTTGATACAATCTACTGTTCTGATGTATTGCAATGTTGACATCTATGTTTGTTGTGACTGCTATAAAGAGTATAGAGAGTCAAGAGTATAGATGAGAATCATGGTTGTTTTATTTTATAGTAAAAATTATACACCTATCAGTGATTTTGTATTTTAGAGCAATAAAAACTAATAACTTTACTGACAACATAGAAAACCTATATAAAGAATAGAGGAGAAAAACTAAAACAAAGATGGGTAGTACATGTATTTAAATATACTTTACCTAGAGGAGGAGGAGGAGTGGAATAAAAAAGAGGATGAGGTAAATGAAGAAGAGGAGGAGTAGAAGGAAGAGGGATGAGGAGGAGAAAAAGAGGAAAAGGAGGAAGAGAAGGAGGAAAAGGAGAAGAGGAGGAAAATGAGGAAGAGAAGGAGGAGAAGGATGCCTAATTCAAGTAAAACATTTGTGGTTTTTTATTCTTTAGAGGTCTACACTATCTAGACACACAATTAAACTGTAGCTGCAATCCTTTTCAATTGTATAATCTCTAAAGAGCTTAGGTGACCCAAGTTTCCACACCACGGTAAGCTTTTAGGCTAAGCCGTATGGGTCTTGGCGCGTTTTTGTTTTAAGTGAGTTTCCCCTGGAGGCCTATTCTCACTATTATGGTAGTAGTTAGTCTATAACAGATTTACTACTACTATTCATATTTTTTATGTTAACCTGCTTATCTTTAAAATGATATTTATTAGGTGTCCTGTTTTATTTTAGTATATTTCATTCTTGTTGTGTTTATTTTAAAATTTGTGAAGTTTATTACAGGGTGTATTGTTTATTTTAGTTTATGATTTACTAGGA